AGGGACGTTATCCTTGTCCAATATCTCTAAAACAGGTAAGCCCTTAGCTTCAAACACCTACCTAGCCAGAAGAATGATGCCAAAGGCTTCAGCTGGGTGTACAGCTCAGGGACCTTTCCTAACAGGGAAGAGGGCAGGAAAGAAGGGAATTGATTCATAGAGGACCAACCCAAGATACAGATACCTCAATGGGGTCCTCCAGGTCCTGAATGAAGGGCACCGTATCTTCAGGAAGGACAGGGTGGGCCCTGGTGCTGAAAATGGGTGAGCAGAGGTGCTGTTGCAGACACCCTTGAGCAACTATGGGAGAAACAGCAACATGCAGACCAGGCATACGAAAAGCCATCTCAGTCTGACCTCTGTTTAAGGCCTGTAGCCTCCTTCACATGCTGGGTGCAAGCAGCTAAATTACAAGGGACAGATCAACTGCAGGGAGAAGGTTGTAACCCAAGTCTGCAGTGTTTGAATAGACCTTGACAAAAGGAGCCACTCACCCAGAGGTGATTACTGTAGATCCTCAGAGAGTTGCTCACACAGTCTCCTCCTTTGCCAATCTTTTGTGCCACAGAGAATAACAGGGTTATGGAATTGGGACCTTCCCTCTTCCCTGCTGCTGTCGTAGATACAATTAAGGCAATCATTCCAGGGAAGAGGGACAAGGAAGGAGTCCTTCAAAACAGCCTCAGAGACTGCAAGATAGAGGGCGTGCCAAATTACTTGGGGACTTAGCTATTATGATACTGGGTGCTACTCAAAGAACCTGTACAGACAGACAAGAGTCTAAGCTGAGATCTTGCACTGGGACTCTCCAGTATCCTAGCAACAGTAAGTTCACTTAGTTTTAATAACCAGTTTTTCAACAACAGACCGCAAAGGAGGCCAGTATCAAGGGGAGGATCCATCTCAGGGGCACTACATCCACAGATTTCAGCTCCGAGGCACCAACTGTCTAGGCACTGTGAACGGAGAGCAGAATGGAACTGGAGTTGAAACAGCCTCTACACCACTAGCAACCCACAGCATTCAAAAGTCAAAGGTGCATTGGCAGAACTGAATACGGGGCATTGAACCAGATCAGAGAGTGCATGAGGTGAGGACAGAATGCATTAACAGATGTGTGAAGAGGTCCAGCCCTAGGATAGTTGGAGGTGCTGCCAGCAATGATTGACAGGGTGGGAAAGGGTTTTGGACCCAGCACAGAAGCAGCAGGATAGAGAGGAAATTACTTTCTTACTTGCCCACTGACAGTTAGCATAAGCTTGACCTGGTTACCTCTGTCCAACTCTTTCAGGATATCCATTCTCCAGTCACCTTCCCACGAAACACCTGCACACAGGACCATGGACTCTCAGCACACAACAGACACTGCAGCAGACTAGATGCTGATGCTTCAAAAACTGAAATGCATCCAAATCTTATAGCAGCCAGCCTGGGAGGAACCCAGCTTCACCTTCTCTTCCTTCCAGAAACCCTGGCTTCAAAGAGGTGGGGGAGGGGAGGGCATTCTTAAGTAGAAGCACAGTCTCCCAAAAGGCATATTTAAAAAAAAAAAAAAGACATTTTTAGGGCAATAAGGAATACTACATGGTTTGAGTGAAAAAAATCATATAAGGGGGATAAACTGGGGAGTCCTCCCTAGTTCCTTCAGTCCAACAAGAAGTTTTTCTGTATTCTCCCCAACTTATATGACGTTACACAGGGCAGTCAGACAAAGCCACAGAGGAGTGCTATTCTGTAAGAGTTCTCCATAAGGAACCACATACCTTTGTCTACCCAGGTCTTCAAAATCTCTGAGGATGAAGATGCAACCACCTCTCTGGGTGGCCTGTTCCAATGCTTTCTTATCCCCCAGGTGACAATGTGTTTCCTGATATCTAACCTAAGCTTCCTTTGCTGCAACTTGAGCCCATTGCTCCTTCTCCAGTCACCTGCCACTATAGAGAAGTCTTGATCCATCCTCTTTCAGACTGAATAAGCCCAGTTCCCTCAGCCCATCCACATACTCCCCAGCTCTCCAGCTCTGCTGGCCACCCCCTGCTGGATTCTCTCCAGTCTGCCCACACCCCTCCTGTGTCCAGAGGTAGGAGGGAGCCACAAACACAACCCTACCACCCATTACCTGGCAAGAGGCAGGCTGTGGTCCTGATAAGGCACCCGTTCCCCACTCCCCAGCCCAGAAGCCTTGAGCGCAGGGGCTGCCCAGGGGTTTTCCCACCCTGCAGCCACGGGTGCTTCCCCAGCACAGGCTGCCTGCCTGCCAGCCCCACCTGCCAAGCAGCCTTGGCAGCTGGTGCAGGGACCAGAGTGCATAGGTGAGGCTGGTGCTCGGCGCTGCACAGGCAGGTGTCCTGCTGCCTTCACCCCCTTGCCACCGTGTCCCAGCTCCAGCCTGGCCTAGGCCAGACAGCAGCATGGTCACGGGCAATCCCAGCAGTGCCCCTCAGGCATGGACACAGCAGGCAGGCAGGCTCTCCCAGCCATCTTATGGCCTACCTGAGTCACTGGGGAGGGAAGGCACGGCTGGGGCGGGATACACAGCCACAGGCACAGCAAGGGGAGCAGCAAAGGAGAGAACTGTGCCTTGCACCAGGGGCAGAAGGCCAAGTTATTGCCTGATCAGCCTGGCCACAGGCAGGACTCGTGCTATGCGAGGCAATGTCCCCCACAAGATCTACTTATGTAATATGCCCTCATGTTACTGCAAAAGGTGAGTGGAAAGTTGCTACTTCTTGTGACTTCATCTGGAGGGTAAGTTTTTCAGGGACTCGAGCAGGATTATATCTATTAACTGGAATAGAAACTGGCCAAGAGTGGTTGGGAAAGTGTTTTTACTATAGTCCTACTTTAAGAGCTGTAAAGCTCAGCAAATGCATTTCATTGCCACTGTTCAGGAATTGCCTCCAGGCCACACAGTTTTTTCGGTCATTAGAAATGATTGGTCTGAACAGCAACAAAATTGTTAAGGTATAAACTGTCAGATAGTGAGCGCTCAGTAACTGAGACAGGTTGAGCAGTACATGGCATCATTTCTATTCCCTGATTAAAGAAGTTTAGCTCTTAATATCAGGTTATTAATATAAATAACCTTTAAACTGACCATTTTTCTGAATGTTCCTATTCCAGAGTTCACTCATAAAACTACTCAGAGCCAACTGAAAGAGGCAATAAAACTGGAGCTGAATGAACACATGGATGGAAGTCTCTTTTAGCACTTGCCTTACTCTGACTTCTCTAACGGTAGCCAGAGATGCACAGAATGAAGGACAGGCAGTCCTTAAGTCTGGTTTTATTCTTTTTGTCCAGTTTGAAAACAGGCTGCTCTTCAAGGATGTTTAAATGCAGCCCTCAGATTGCCCCAAGTTAACTCCTTAACAGGCCTTTGCCCATGGAAGCCAAGGAAACCACAGTCTCTGGGATATTCAGCCAGTCTATTAATGGGGAATAGCCCCAAATCTACATTTGGGACAACTAAGTACTTGCCATTGGTCCTGTCTTCCACTAGGGATTCCAGTAAACTAGACTGGAAAGTTAGCTGGCTCTGAGTGCTAACCCACGTCACCTTTGAGCAAGGAATTTTCTTCTGAAGAATCCTTGTATTTTGCCCTGTGGCGCCTACAAACATTTTTTTACTATTGATAGAATTACATTAATTTAAAGAGTAAAAAAATCCCCAAGAATCATTTTAAGGACACCATGTAGACAGAAAAATGGTTTGAACTAAACTGTAGCAAGTTTACCCTCCAACTGTGTCAGGCTTACCAGATATTTTGATTTCCCAATGCATCTTGGTTTTTCCACCAGGAACTGACATCACAAAGAGCTTCATTTGCAATTTCACAATATTGGAACTGTTTTAGTTTAGGAACCCAATAGTTTTAGAAAGTCCCTCATCAGGCTGTCAGGGAAAGTGGAAGGAGTCATGCTGGCATGTATGTGTTTTAAGTACTTATGTATTAAATGGGAACAACCAAACTTAAGCACAAGTGGCTCTGAACCATGTGACATCACCCCCTTCCAAGCTGAGGAATCTCCTGCCTGTGGCCTGTACCTGGTTGGCTGTAAGCAGAGTTAATATCAAAAGGAGTCAAATAAAAAGCTACACAACCTCTTAAAGCAGGGGTAGGCAACCTCTGGCATGGATGCCAGAGTGTGGCATGCAAAGGCATTTTGTTGGGGCACACCCCTCAGCGCAGATGGTGGGGAAGGGGTCAAGGCTGCACTGTCACAACAAGGATCAGCCCCTCTACAGCTCCCCCAGCACCTGCCCCGGCACACCAGTATCTTACAAGTCAGGGTTGCAGGCGATTTTGGCACTCTGCCCAAAAATGTTGCCGACCCCTGCCCCTGCCTTAAAGTACAAGTGTCAAAGATCTGGACCACAGAACATTTCAATCCAGCTTGCTAGGCTCCTCACAGGCTACTGAAAGTTGGGAGATAGGGCCATGGAGGGACAGGCCTGCCACAGAATGTAGGCCCCTGGGCCCTGCTGAACACAGCCAGCAGCAACAGGAGGGCATGCAAGGGCTGTGCTGACACAGCTCCATTTGCCCTGCTGCCCAGGACCCCTGCCACCACTTGACCTCACCACTCTAAATCCCTGCTCGACCTGCCACAGCTACTGACCCTAGAGATCTGGTCTGGGAGGAGCCCCACAGTCCAGATCCAGCATCAGGTAAGCCCAGCACCTCTGCCTTAAAGAAACATTTCAGACAGAACTATGCCCTTTAAGTGGCAACTGACCAATCAATGTCAATGTCAGAGAAACTCCAGCATTAGCACCTGAATAGTAGTACACTTCTATTGGCCAAGATAAGTAAGCTAAGCCTGTGCTCATCCATGAGCACCTAATAAGCCCAGCAGAGCTTCAAAGGGGACTGTGGCTAATCCCACTCTGCATTGTAGTTGAAAACAAGTTCAGCTGAATTGCTTTTATTGTTGTGTCACCAGAAATGCAATTCTTAGCCCAGAACCACCCAATAAGAGACAAAAACTTTGACTGCATAGCAAAAAGTTTATTTGAAGAGTTCAGACCTTAAATAATACACAATATCACAAAACAGCCACACTGTGCCAAATACAAAAAGACAAACTAAGCCTAAGAGAAACAGCAAGCACACTATAAATAGTTTTCATTTGCACCAGACAGCTAAACATTCAGTGCCATATTTTGGTAAAATATCCTCTATATTTAAAAATAATCTCATGGGGAAAACATAAAAAGCAGCAGTTTGGTGCAGAGAGCTTGAATCTGAAGTAACAAGACATTAAAAATATTCACATCACACAGACCAGGATTGATGAGAGCCATCACAGATTACAGGAAAATAAGTCTTAAAATATATATGTGCCCAGCTACAAGACATTATCTAATGAAAGGCTGCACGAAGGGTGTGTTGCTGTAAAATGGGAGTCTGGGCTCTCCATCCTGCAGATTGTTGTTTGTCAAAGTTGCTAGGAGACTGCTTTGTTGCTTGGTAAAGCTTCCTCAGCTCCAGGCTTAGCGGTCAGTATCTGGCACCACACTCCTTGCCCAGGGACCAAACTTCCTCACTCCAGATGGGCACAAACCAGATAGAATTTGTGATTCTTGTTCCAAACATTTCACTCCTTGTCTACAAACAAGTGCACAGTCCTTAAGCCAATACTTCTGGGGGAATAGCAGGTAAGTCCCAGAAAGTAACATGGGAAGTGCCAAATATCAGATTTTCAGTCCGTCTAGACTAGTATTCCATCTTCAATGGCCAGCAGCTGACCATTCTAACCTTCTTCTAAAGTAACTCCGTAGCAAGCAAGTGTGAGATTGTTTGTCCCTCAGGGAAATTTCTTCCCCAGTGGTGCTCAATTTATGGTCCATGGGCCAGATCCAGCCTGAGGAGCTGCATCACCCAGCCAGGTGGGGCTCTCCACAGATCCAGAAACATGATGGCAGGGAAGTGGTGGTAACATTAAACATTCCCAGGGATGTAGGAATGAACGCTACCACCACTCCCCCACCAAATTTCCCAAGCCATGGAGAACTACACAGTCCAGATAATGGGCCCATGCACCAGACCATGCCAGTGCTTGGGGCCAGCCCTGCATATGGGATCCAGCGTATGGGACCAGGCCAGATCACACCTGCTTTGCAGTAGATTGGTTTGAGCCTTGATGCAGGGAATGTCTAAAATTATTAGTTAAAAATATGTCTAGGGCAGCACTAAGTACTGTTACCCATATGTATCTTGCTAAATTGCTGGCCTCATAGAGCAATGAGTTACACAGTCTGATTAAATCATGGGAAAGTGTTTCTTTTACTCAGTTTTCAATTTGTCCCTACTCAAGTTCTTTGGATACCCCCAGTAAATCTGTAACATGGATTCAGGATACAGCCCATGCCCAAGGTTCTACCCCATCTGAAAGGGGTAACCAGCTGCCTGCCCTTGCAGCTAAAGTTCAGAGGTATTTTGCAGCTCTGGTCCCCCACCTAGTGAGAGGTAGTTGACCATATTAGTCTGAAGTCAGGCAAAAAGCAGGGTAGATTTGCACCTTCTAGACTAACTCTGGGGTATCAAATTCATTCAACCCCTGGACCGGATGAGTGGCACGGAGCCAGTCTGCAGGGCTGAGCTGGTACAGGCACTGCATGCAGTGCATGCCTTGGACCATCTGAGCATGTTGCTTGCGGGGCACTTGCCAGCTCCAGCTCTGCACTGTGCGCAGCACATGCCTGCTCCAGCCATGTGTGGGGTACATGGCATATGGCACTGGTCTGGGGCACACACTGCATGTGATTCCCATGCCAGACTGGCCCTGCATGCTGGATCTGACATGCAGGACCAGTCTATGGGCCCAATCCAGGCCAGCCCTGGATCCATGCTGTGTGCAGCGTACACCAGCTCCAGCTCAGAGAAGCACACAGGACCAGTCTAGGGTGCGCACTGGATCCACCATAGGCACTCTGTTTGTGAGCCCAACCCAGAAAAGCACTGGCTCCGACACACAAGTCTGGTTTGGCATGGGCACTGTATGCAGCGCGTCATAGACAGGCTCTGCTTGCTGCATGGGCCAGTTCCAATGTGCTCTGCACTGCAGCCAGCAGCACTGTGGGCTAGATCTTTGATACTTGTGGACTAACGAAATCAGAGAGAGAGAGAGAGAGAGAGAGATATGTAAGCTTTGGTGAGCCCAAGCTCACTTCATCCATTGCTGATTTGTTTCGTAGTATGCAACAGCACACTACCTACAACTGTTGATTTGGATAACTTAGGAGAAGTGCTGAATGGCTGCAGGGGTCTGCTATTTATGATGTGTTAGCATGGTCACAACTCCTACTTAGGCTTGGCACAAAGGTCTGCATCTCCCTCAAGAGAACAAAACCCTTTGCATAACTTAAATTAGCAGAGACACCTTTTAAAGCCAAAGATCCCATAGTACTGGAAAATTCAGGCTTCCAGCTCTATTGCATGATGCAAAGTAATAAAGTTAAGGCAGTCAAAGGAGACAGCATTTGTTCTTCAAGAACAAATCTGACGGAATCCCCAACCTCAAAAGCCATCTTCAGGAGGTTATTTAGGAACAGGGCAGAGAAGGCAGGGAGGACACCTTTGCAAGCAGGGGCCTAATTCAAATAAATGAGGAGGTCTATGGCTCGTTTCAGACACTTCTTGTTCCTAAGGCACTGTGTGATAAGCCACTCTCTAAGGATTTATTTGAGAGGGAGAGGGCAGAGGAACACCTGGGATACAAGTGGACAAGTGCAGAGATCTTTGCAGAGTGCTGGAGTGGAGGACAGAAGAGCTCTTCTTCCAGAACCACCAAGGTGGAGCTACTAGACAAGGCAGGCTCTCTTCTTATCCCCTCCCCAACTGCAAGTCTAGCCACCATTTCTATAGCTGACCCCTTAGAAGTAACTTATGCAGCTAAGTGGGTCACTCGCGCAGTCAGAAAAGGAAGCAAACAATGCATATAGTTAGAAAGATAGGAGTTGCTGTAGTTTCTAGAATAAACAGGGTACTGAGAAACTCTTCTTTGCTTCCCAAGGTGTCCAAAAACAAAAATCTAATCTCTCCCCTAGGCCTACACATGCATTTTCTTCCCACCTATAACATTTGGAAAACTTTTTACCAATGCAATGACACAAAATTAAGTAGGCCTCAACATCGATATGCATCTAGCTCAGAAGTGACACAAACCCTTAACAGCCTTCAAAATAGCCTGAGAACCAAGGTCCTGACCCTGTTCTAAGGATTCTAATGGCAAAACATCCACAGACTTCCAATTTAAGTAGAAACTGGGCCTCAAGGTTTGTATTCTGTGATCTACATGAAATACACTATCTGATTTCTACTGTTTTCAACAAACTCCACCAAGGAAAGGAGAGTTATGAGTACTTCTTGATCCACCAGTAAGATCCATCAGTAATTCTTGATCAATCAGTATCTATGAGTAATTCTTTTTATGTCATCACAGCCTGTTATGGAGTACTTAAGTAATTATTACTGAACACTTAAAACAATTAAAGTCTTCTCAGTCTCCTGACTGATCATGCTACTAAAGCTAGTATGTAAATATTATTCCCGAAGCCACATTATCCTCACAAAACAGGTGCTTTGTGAAGAAAAACAATGTTGTGATCAATCATAAAAACTAGTCCATAGTTTGCCAAACACAACAGAAGTCTATTTACTTTCTGGTTCCAGTCTCTCTTCTCCCAAAATTTGGGGCTAGAAAGAAACAGTTTTAAAACACCTCAAACTTTCATCCCTGGTAACCTAAGGGAGGTTTTTTTCTTTAAGCAAACATGATTTTATGATGATTAACACCACTTTCAAAACTCAGTTTTTATCTTGGACTTGGCTTTTCATGCCTGAAATTGAAAGTCTCAAGTACACCCTTAAAAGTAGAAAGGACGTTCTCTCTAAGCAAGGTGGAGGAAAAAAAAAGAGACATTATGCCTTTGAACTAATTATGCTTTCTGTGCCCTGTGCTGAATAAAAGTAACTAATTAGGCAGAAACCATACAGCAAGGAGAGAATGCCAATCAGATACTTTCATCAAGTAGAAGGGCATCATCAAAATCAAAGGATGAATTACTAGTTTTACTAGGAACAGTTAATAAGAACTTCCAAAGAAAAGTGCTCTTTCAGTCACCCAAATTATTTCACTTGGTACCTGGGTAACACAACAATGTTTACATAATTTGAACACTAAAAGGACTAGACAGGTTTAACTTACTGGTATAGTTGTGAAGCTTTCCTGTATTGTAGATGAATTATTACATGCCTAAAACTCTATTGTGCTTAGATGAAATACCAGCTACTTCAGTAAAATCTTAAAATGAAGAGTATCAAGGCCTTTTTTGCTCTATCACGTAGCAGATGTGCCTACAGGCACAATGAGGTATCATGATGGGCACCTACAGCAGGTTGGAATCACACATCCTATATGAAGATACCATTTGACTTCAGCCAACAAGGTAACAAGAAGGGGGCAAGTCTGATGAATGAACTGGAAGTACTGATGAAAGATCTATCCCCGTTTCAGACAGCCAGGACTGAACACTAGGATTTCCATTCACTGAACAGTCTACCTTTGCTAAAGACCCTTTGGAACAGCAGCTGTTAGTTACCAAGCAGTTGGTCTGCTTAGTCTACACACACTGTTTGCTTTCAATGACCTCAGCTGTCCAAATGACTGAGACAGCTCTTATTTGCTGGACTACAAAAAAATAAAGTGCATAAATCAAACAAACATTCACGATCATGTTCTTAACAAATGGCTAGCATAATGATCCATGGAAAAAATAAGCAGCTGACAGGTGAGAGAGGGAACACAGCACAAGGGGAACAGTTCATCCTGAGGATGCTAACAAACTAGCCCACACTATAGCTCAATAACAGAGAATCAAGGGCACCAACTTTCTTGAGTACCTGAGCATGCACAAGCTAATTCACTTCTTTACTAAGGCCCCATTTTAGACTGCTCCCAAGTGCATATGTGGTCCTCCACAAAGTCAGGTATTCAGCAGTTGCTACAGACAGCAGCACTGAGATTTATTGTCATATACTGGCTGTTTGTGGAATGTGAAGGGTCTTCCTATGTATTTGATGTTTAGAAAAAAAACTGAGGTGGGTGGAATGCAGAAGGGCCTCTCTCAGTTGCACAGGGCCTGTGAGAGGGGCCCACACCAGACTGCTGCCATGCTGGGGTGAAGGGACCACTGCCTATGCCACAGGGCAAGGCAGGGACTCCATCTGAAATGCATCAATGCCTGTCACTGCCCCTCCTTGCAGATCCGCTGCTGCAGTAAGGCAGCTGCATTTTACATCAGTTTTTTCCTGAACTGGGATTATGCTACCCCTTCCCCCACCCTGCAAAAAGAAAATCAGCTGCCCTCTTCTGCCTTCACTCTTAAGAAGAATGAGCAAGATGCTGCTTCTTTAAAAGAGCAATGGTTCTGCCCTCTGCTTAATCCTGCAGCTAGATAAACCTGGTGCCCACCCAAGTAATTTGGCATAGGCTGCTCAACTGCATACCTGCGTCTCTGACCTACCCACCAATCCAGAGTACTTAAGACAGTGGTTCTCAACATTTTTACACTTGAGACACCTCTCTTTGGACAAGGCCCCCCTTGGAAAATTCCAGCTCTTAGGTTTTCATTCATTTCATTTTTTGACTACTGAAAAATAGAGCAATTTTTCTGTTGCCAAGAGCTCAAAAAGACCCCACAGCAGGTCAGAATGGTTTTAACACCAATAATTCCTAGCTGAAGTCTCTGGGTTTATCTTGTGAATCATGTTTGCACACCTAATGGTGCTAACAGTGTGTGGTACCCCATGGCATCCTTGAAAGCATCTCAAGGCACTCCAGGGTGCCATGGCATCTTGAATGAGAATCACTGACTTAAGTAGTAGGCAGAGCATATTAAAAGGGCCTGAGAATCCACAGTACTTTCCCCGAATGCTGAGTATGGCATAACTAGGGAATGACTGCACCTTTTAAGAAATTAAGTCTTTGCTTTCCCCCCATCTACAGAGGGCGATGTACCTGCACAGAAGGCCATTACCTAAAGGGCTTTTCAAGACTGACTGGCTGGAAATATCCCAAAATTATGCAAAAAAAGTCATTCAGTATCTGCAGACAGAGGCACCAAAGTGCAACTGCAAGAGCACCCTTAAACAGGAATGTTCTTAAATAATCATCAAATACATATTCAAAATCTTAAAAGATTTACCAAATAAAGATATTTTAAAGCGTATTTGTTGAAACCTTAGTTTGATCCTCATTTTCCCTGTTGCCATGACTGGCACAGAGGGTGACCATTAATGCCACTGCTAACCACTGAAAGGTACCAGTGGTACTGAAAGGAGCTGCAGTCTATACAATGTGTTATGGGTTAGCAATGGTCTCAGGGGTTCACCGACTCCAAGCAAGCACAGAAGTGGCTGACTTTCCTGTGTGTTCAAGTCTTTTTGGCATGTGTTAGCCTGGGCTCTAACAGTTTTGCACTTGCCTAACACAATCACTCCTTTTTCCCCAGGTTAAACTATTGCAAACAATCTAAGTTTTAACTGTTTACATGTCTCCCCAGTCAGGAAGATCTAGTATCTAACTCCTTATTCATCCTGCTTTCCCCTTCCCACAGATGTTTCAACTGACCCACAAGATTTATTCCCTCTGCAAAGTTTGGGCACAGGCCTCTTATAATGCTCACTAAACAACTACCAGGCTCTTGCCTTGGGCCTAACAGCTGTGGCATGAGCATAATCATAAATAGGGACAGAGGATACAGGCTGTAGTTGGCGTGGGTGGACAGGATGAACCCCCAGACAGGGCTTAATTGCCACCTGGCTAGTGATGGTGTGCAGCAGTGCTAAAAGGATGCAAGTGTGGAGCAACTACCCAACAGGTGCTTTTCTCTTAGCAAAATGTGGTTGGCAGTTGTCTCCTGGTGGTTCCAGATACAGTTAGAGGGGGGCAGAAGGATCTCTCAGCTTCCCTTCGTACCAGTGCAATAGACACTGTAACTACCTGAATTTGACCTTTGACAATGTCCTGGCTATCATAAGAAGTCCCAGTGATCCTTTCACAAGAGTGGCTTCTGGAACATAGTACAGGGAAAGGGGTTCCTGGGTTATCAAGTTCATTCCTCTGCACTTGCAGGCTACCATTAAATTGATGGAATCCCTAAAATGACCCCTGTGCAGCCACAGCTACCCTCTCATTCAGGGCAAGCTGGGGTGAAGCAGGGGAGAAGCTTTGTATCCAAGAGAAGCAGGAAGAGCCTTGCCTCAGACGTAGCCACATGACAATGACAGTTATGGGTACTAGTCCTGGGTGGAAGCCTGCTTTGCTCAGTGTTACCTGCCTGCTGTCCTTGCCCCCTCCACTCCCTCAGCTGGTGTAATATATGTGAAAGAACAGGATCTTGTTGCGCAGGAGGGAGTAGGAGTTGTCAAATTTGAGCAAGTAGATGCCTTCGCCTGGATAATCATGGCTGCCTGCCTGCACGTCCCGGTGGCTGTCCCTCCGATACACAGGCATGATCTCACCATAGCGGTTTCGCAGATAGCTCTTGGAGCCCCTTTCCACATCTCCAACTGGGGTGAGTCCTGAGTAGCAGAGAGGAGACAAACAAATGTCAGAAACAGCAAAGCTGATGCATCAAAGGGCTTCAATCAAACCATGGTTACAGGACAGGGACAAAACTTCCAGCTAAAAACATTGGCTGGCAGCACTACATGCAGTCGCCACTCTAAAGTTTCTGCACGTATAATAGCCAAGCTATTTCCATGCATCAAGAGAAGCCTCTCCAGGGAAATGATACACTTGGGAATGTTTTGAATTTCCCACCATCATCATCACTGCCACTTGTTTCCCTGTCCTCCTCCCCTCACAGCACTTCCTAGCTTCCCTTCATATTTACTGCTTCCTAGCAGAGTCCCTTCAGAACAGCTCTCTGCCAGAGTAAAATGAATTCTGGGTGAGAAAATACTTGGGGGGGAGGGGGCGCCAGAAAAAAAATCACCTGTCCTCAAATTCTACTTCTCCCTAGGGGGTCTAGTTTCAGGTCTTCAGGTCTCAACCTGCAACTGTGACAGTACTCCCTATGCATTTCAAGCTGTCCCACCACAAAAATACTGATTGCACTTGGGGGGGGGGGGG